TGAGCCAACGTCCGGCCTGGATTCGGTGGCTAAACAGCTATAAGTTGAACAAACAGTTTGCCCCTTTTCGTCTTTGTTGACTGCTTTTACTCGTTTTTTAGTGAAATAGACTGATATTTACAGTGGACTCGTATGGATACATAAGGTTGCTTATTTGCCAGCAAAAAACGTCAGGAAATGTGCTCCGATTTAATGATCAAGGAGACTTTAAGGCCTGCCAATAATGAGACGGGGAATTTGAAACCTTTCAGTTCGCATTTTGTTAGGCGCGGTCGACAATTCATGCATCCTAAGGTGTGATTTGTGTGTTGATAACTCCGGCTTCTTGGAATAATTAGCATTTTTGCATTTTAATGAATAGTAAATAGGGGTAATTTTTCTTGAGTTTTGTAACTGTATCTTTCCATCCTTTTGTGTTTCTAGTATATTTTCGCTGTCCTTATTTACCCTGTGCTACTGTAGACTTAATGTCTTCTTTCTAAGCGCTTAATACTTCTTTTGGCCATGCGTTATATGCTTTAGATTAGAACACTCAATTCGCTTTTTCTGTATGCCTCCTGTAGTGTTGTTTTCTTGGATTATTTTTTCTAACCACCTAAATACCGCTTACATAACTGCCTTCTGTTCTTCTGAATTTGTGATTTTTCTTTATCACGCCCTCTTTTAGCTGTTTTTTTTTGCTAACGCATATTTCCAGGCCAAATGTGCGCAGATCATCGTCGGAAATGGGACCGGGCCTACTTCGAGAAGTTGGCAGATCAAAGATCAACTGAAGAACTGGAGGCTCTTCGCAACGCTCGCACCGAAAAAGAAACTGTTAAGCGCCAGCCTCTTAAGGCCCGTGAATACACTGTAGGAACACACTCCTTCTTCTTACCTGATTTCTAGATTGATCTTGAATCTAACCTTAACAAGTCTCAAGTCATTGCTAAAACCGGACCCGGCAGCTCCCAGGCTGGATATTACTGTGAAGTCTGTGATTGTGTAGTTAAAGACTCCATTAATTACCTGGACCACATAAATGGTAAAAAGCATCAAAGAAACCTTGGAATGTCAATGCGTATTAAACGTTCGACCTTGGAAGAAGTAAAAGGTCGTTTTTCTATGCACAAAAAGGCTCAGGAGCAGAAAGCACAAGAGTACAGCCTTGATGAGAGAATGAAACAGATTGCAGAGGAAGAGGAAAAAGTAAAGGCCTATAGAAGGGAGAGACGAAAAGAGAAGAAAAGGAAAGCCGAGGATCCTGATTTGTTGGACGAGGATGTGGCCGCCACCATGGGATTTGGTGGTTTCGGTTCTTCTAAGAAGGCTCGTTAATTTCATATATGGTTTCGCAAGCATTACTTTGTACATATAGGCGTCCTGAATTAACACGAGTTTATGTGTGTATGCTCTTTGTTCCTGTGCGTCGAAGTCTCTTTGTACTCGACTAGGAGGAGGACGGAACAAAGAATAGTCGGGACCTACTCAACGGAGAGAACGATATTTTCATCGATATTCATAAACCTACTAGAACAATAGAAACGACGAAGGTTGATATGCCGATAGGTTTGCCGTATTTGTCCAGGTAGGATTTGATGGATGAAAAGCACCCCTTAATATTCGAATCGTACCCAATATTGGAGGGCTTACTCTGTAGTAGAGAGCATCGTTGTGTGCTCCAGCCATGAAGCGTGGAGGCCCGTATTGCCAGTTCTGACACTGATGAACATTCTGAAATTGTCCGGTTGGCCAACCGGTCAGGGGGTCAAGCAGAGTTAGGCAGCAGGATCTTGGCACCCGTTGGTAAAACAAACTTGTTTCTTACTCAAGGATCTATTTTACAAATTGCTTAATACCAGGCATTTGAGAGTCAACATTGTAGAAATATGCATTGACGGAGAGGTCCCACCGTGAGTCGTGGTACGCGCCCCACCCGTTGTCTTCAACTGCGCAGCATCTTAAATAAGACTGCACGAAATCCCATGAGTCTGTAATAAAGCCTGTTTTTCCATAGTCATTCTGCAAGGTCTTGGTCATCGCCAGTCTTACAGTTTCTTGAAGCTTGAGAAAGTGTTCACATGAGTGAAAATGCGTACCGGTGCTGGAAATACGATGAGACTTATGCCAGCACAAAATGCGATAATCATTAAAACGGCAATTCCGATGGTATACTGGCAGAGTGAAGAGTCAAGGTGCCGCAAATATGACATACCAAAATTAACATCAGTCTGCTGTGTCTTTTAAGGGCAACTGTGCCCCAAATCGGGAGTATCATCAAGAATACCGAACAGAAAAGAGCGCTATAAGCTGCACCATTGTAGAGAAAGTTACCAAGGATTTCCGGACTATTTGATTTATTTAAGGATATGAAAATCGATACGCCGAGTATAAAAGCGCAAAGAAGCTTTATTATAAACATACGTAGTTTACCTACCTCTAAAATTGCATTAGCAATAAACAGAAATGATCGCAGAATGGAAGAGTTTGGACGAAATGCCATAGTAGTACAGAAAACTAAAATCGCTTGACACAAGCCCTTTACGCGCCACAAAAGAGTAGTTGTACCAGACGCGGAAATGACCTTCCAATTAAATCGGTAGGTATTGATAATTGAGCTAAAAATCCTGATTGATGGGAGGCATACCTCGAGATGTAGGACGCAATGCTTTCAGAGCTTGCATTTCTCGTAATGTGGCATGTGTCCATCTTTTTTCGCCTATCATTACAGATAATTTAGTACACTTATGGAGATAAAAAGAACCACGATTAACTCACAAGCAGGTTTTAGCAATACCAGTTTGTACGTTAGCATCTATAGATGCTAAGAAAACGTATTATAATGCTGAATGTCCAAACTATGAATTTTATCCTTGTAAGGAACTGTCTGTTCCTGGTGTTTGGCACGACAGGATTTGTTCGGAAACCTGGTAACAGCTTAATGAGAAGCCTAATGAGTACAGAATTTGAGTGTCTGCTGCAGTGAGCGTTCGTCTAGATATAAGGAACAGCCTGCTGTTCGCTGACTGGGTAAAATAATTTTTGTTTGGCGTATTTATTAGATCAGCGGGTTATTCGGTGTGCCCCTTTCTGAAGGTGGTTTCAATGTCAGCTGTCGAGGATTGCATCAAAAATAGGCTTTTGTGGTCCGAGTTGCCTGTGACCATTAAAGCTACGTTGAATGAAGACGCGGCAGAATACGATGCTCGAGTGCTCGTGCATTTTCTACAAAACCAGTTGGAATATTCGGGCGAACTAATTCGAAAAGTACATGAGGTCTTTTACAAGTTTTAAGTTTAGTTAGATTGTTCGCAGCGAAAGGGCTTATTATCGCCAACTGGTGCGGTACAGCTCCCAGCAAATGATGCTATTTCCATATCATCTTCAACGAAAAATTGTACCTGGTTTGAGCATAACTCCATTTAAGTACTACAGGAATATTGTCCATCAAACAATGCTTTCTGAACTCTCATATGATCGGTTACCTAATTTTACTGCGGCTGATTGTTATCAGATTCTTGGAATCGGGCGAAACGAATATATGGATCTCTTAAACGTTTACAAGGGAAAGCTATGTTCGTCTCAATCCAGTCTTGTTGAAACCCCATCCTCTGTTCTTGACGAATTGCTCCCCAAAGCCCCTCTTGACTTTGCGCATCTTCAACCTTGGTTCGTCGTTAGAGCCGGGTCCGTGAGCGATGCCGATGTTAAGGCTCACGAACCCGATGTTCAATCTATTCTCGATCGAATAATTGATAACGATCGCTCACCCGACACGAGTCATTTTGGTCCTGGTCTGAAGATTTCTGAAATACCCATCGATATTTTTCAAAATCTTTACCGGCGTGGTCTAGTTTACGTTGAAGTCCCGATTCTCGAAAATGATTGCCTCTCTGTTCCCACTCTTGATGGATTTATCATGAATCGAGTTAGCGGAGACAGTTGTGAAACTTTGCTTTACAAGATTTTTGTGTCTCTTGATCCTCAATCATGCGTTCGTCAGTTAGCCGCGGATTTGGGCGTTGGACTGGAATTTGTAATCAACGCGGCATCATTGTTTGTCCGTTTAGGATTTGCTTATAAAACTGATTCAGTTTCCGACCAATCGTATGTTGAGTATGGTGACGTTGATATCTCATCTTGCGAGTATGACAATACACTACCCTCCACTAAGCCGCAGAAAATTGCTTTCATTTTTGATTCCTCAATAACAGCCTACCTCATGCTGGGAAACCTTTCAGCAGACTTGAAAAAACATTCTGTTACCATGTTTGAAGTCGGAAAGCTGACAGGTGATTCACTCAGTGCCTTCTATAGAGAAATTTCTTCTTTGTCCCAATCTGCGGAACAGGATGTAGGTATTTATTACGAGCATGCAAGGTGTCTGAGTCAAACAATGTGTCACATTTCAAGTGCTCAAACCTCAAATAAGACTGATTTTCGATATTTGGATCTAGTGAGATGCGGTTCCTTGGCTTCATTAGAGCCCGTTACACGACGTCGAATCTTATCGAAAAACTACAATCTTGTTGTCTGTATGGCCCCACTTTCTTTTGAAGAATCACGTGTTTTGTGTCCAGATTTGCCTCTCATCTTGGGACCTTCAATCCCTGAAATCAACTCGCCATGGTTCCGCTTCTTTGTTACTCGTACTGTGGATATTGGTGGTATGCCATCCCTCCTTCTTTGCCGCGGTGCCCATGTCACGAAGCTGCCCTTATCTCTCTCTCGTTTCTCAAGATTCCTCGTCACTTCGTGGGGACATGAGCCTGTTCTCATGGACATCTATGGCCTCTTCTATTCCGTTAATGATCTTACCCTCAATTTTCCTGTCCTCATCCAGGCTTATGATGATCGTGACAACAGTTCTCCTCTTCATCAACACTTTCTTCCTATGCCTATCTCACCTGATTTCCTCAAACGAATTAATAATAAACTAGATTGGTTAGAGCGTCTTTCGAAGAGCGTGGACATAACATCTTTCATAGGTTATCTCTCCCTCCTTCTTCCGGATGGAAAATCAGAGGTGGATAATGAAGCACAACATGGTGATATGGAGTCCACAAATGAGATAATCGGCGGAGGAACTCTCTACCAGCAGAACACCTCCCAGTTTCTGGAGCATTCCATCATTGATTCACGTGTGGTGCTGACAGAGGACGCACTTGAGGGTGCTGTCAATGACGGTCGACCAGTTTGCTTATTAAGTGTCCACTTGGGCATACCTCTGTTCAACTCAACACTAAACAATGCTGTCTTCGAGAGGATTAACCATGTGTGTGACAATTCTCAATTGGGTCTTCTACCTTCACAGGTGCGCTCCCAGCTTTCTGCAGCGAATAGTTCGCTGCAGGAAAAGCTTGTAGAATTTATAAAATCTGTTGGAGGAGTTTATGTGCATAATGGCTTTTCTATGACACTGGATGACAGTATGGCAGGCAGCTGCGGTGACAAGACGTCCATGCCGCCATTGCCGCTTCCGTCAAGATCATTGTGTTGTTCCTGTGATGGTGACCTGGAGGAGTGGGAAGATTAGGACAGATGTTACGGCTCCCACCTTTGCTTTCATTTTTTACTTTCCACCGCCCTCTCTGTCTCCATATCACCCCTTTTTTTACGAACCGGCCACTCTTTCCACCTGCAATAACTTATTTTGAAAATTCCTATGCTGCTCCGCTGTCCGGTTTTGGTGATGATTCCAAGGCTTACATAGCGTTATTTGAACACAGCTAGAGGTAAGTTGTACGTGGTTAGTAAACGTAGCGCGGAGAAATAGGAAGTGACAAACACGGCAAATTGGTTCACTCCCAAAGTAGTAGCTGTTTCAAAGTAAGATGCACGAACTCGTCTTCGCTACAAAATAGGGGTTCAAACAAGGCATTGAGTAACCATTTTCGCATATTAATATCCCGCTTTTTGGTCACGATTATGCACTAATAATAGATAGCTTGATATGGAAGTCTATG